AAAGAATGAGGAGCTTCGATTTTGCACAAATCTGAAGTGAAAACCCACATCAGTGCTCATAGTATTATGCCTAAGGACATTATTTATTCCACTCCTATAGCATGATCTTGTTTTTAATGAGCAGGCAGAAGTACTTGGCAGGTAAATGGCATAGTCATGGACTGACTATTAGCTGCTGTGAAATTGAATTCTGCGCTTGTGTGTCTAATACAAACAGTAGTGTGCGGGCACGGAGTCTAATATTCCCAGAGAAACCAGGGCTGACACTTAACTGCCCCTGGGAGGAGAGGAGGACATTAATATGGTGGATATGGAAAACAGAGACTTGACACAGCAAGGAGAAACAAGAAGCAGAACAGAGGAGAATGACTGGATGACGAGTCAGTGATATTTTTGTTGAGTTTATGCATGTGTTTATTTTCTGGGTGTGATATCCAAATTAAACATTAGATATACCTAAAGAATGGGTACATATGCGTACGGTTGAGTGTTCTCAGCTCATGGGATGCACATGGACACACAAACACCACAAGAAACAACATTAAAAGCAGCCTATTAAGGCTGCAAGGTCACTTGTTGAGATTTATGACCGTCAGAGCAAGCTGGTTTCTTCTTTCGTTGTGCTTATGCATCATAACCCACTTTTTAATTACAAAGTCAGAGGGTTTTTTAAATTTTTTTTTTTTTCTTCTGTAGGGCACCTGCCTCCGTCAGTGCATGCAATGGGCAGAGCATACTCTAAGAAAATAGTATTTCCCAGTTCAATATACACCTTATTTACTGTGTGCCATCCGGCCCCAGCTCTGGAGAATTATCCTTTAGGATGTTGCCTGTGGATCTCATCCACATCGCATCTTGAGTGCTTCACAACAGTAAACATTTCGTTTTCAGCCCTGAGATACGCATAATTCCCACAGAAAGAAGGTGATAAAACACCAAAAGCTAAACGCCATCTATTACGGGGTCTTCTACCAGAAATGCCAAGGAACTGTTTTTTCAGGCAGATTAGTATGATATACTTCTTGGACTATTCAAAGCAGAGTTCCCGTTGGCTTCGGTCGCAGCTGTGGGTACCTAGTCCTGCCTTTCAGACGTCCATGAAGGCAGGCCGTTTGCTCAGAGAGAAAAGGGCATGCAAATAATGGTCATTAGGGTTAAATGCGGGTTGGAGCGATTTGCCTGGCATTCTGTGACTCCATATGGAAATCAGTTTCCCACGTAGCTTTCAACTGCATCAACCCTTACACCATAATTTCATTTCTTGTAATCTTCTGGCTCACTCATTTTATAGCTTCCGACCCCTGCAACAGCTGAAGCAGGGATCGAACAGACACTAATCTCCTTTGCCACACAATGCCAGGCTTTCAATTATTTTTTTCCCAGACTGCTACCCGTTTGGGCCATCGGCACGGATGGGATGTTTGGTGCTCACCTCTGCACCCTTAGCTCTTGAAATACCTGGGCTGAAGTGATCTCCTCCAGCAAAGGGTAGTAGGTTAAGGGTGGTATGGTGCTGCATCTGAGCATCCCAAGTCTCTGGCTCTGGTAATTCAGTCAGCCTCAGGGTTCCCCCCCAAACAGTCTTGTCTGTCCTGGCCCTTGTGCTTGGCCAGAGCCAATTCTGTCCCACTCTCCACAAATCCCTTTAAGATTTTCGTCATTTTGCCCCAGTTACCTGTCTGCTGCACTGATTCCCAGGCCTTCCCTGCCTGCCTAGCCAGCTCCCTCTAGCTCTCAGTCCCAGTCTTTACATTCACAGTTCTTCTCCCTGTAGGTAGTTCTCACTCTTAGTTTCTCCCCATCTTTCACCTGGCTTTTTTTGCAGGCTTTATTGGGAGCAAATTGACTGTGCCGATTTGCTCCCATCCCCAGTACAGCCGAAGGCTTGTCTCCCCTGCACCACAAATGCTAACGCAGGTGGCCCCGACTACCTGCAACACATCCTTTATTTTTCCCAGTTCTTTTGGAATGGCTTTTACTCGAGCCAAGCTGGACCGATGGTCTCCTGAGGCTGATGACAGCCCCGCTCTATAAAATGAGTCAATGAGCCATCAATTCCATACCTCCCACTTTCCCCTGATGGGGAGCCTATTTCTATAGTGCTGCCTGGCTGCCACGAGTGAGATTTGAGGTTGTTCCCAAACCTGCTTCTCTCATCCTCTTAAATATGTGGCTTGGCTGCCAAGTCATGGATATGTACTTGGCAGCCTGCATTAGCAACTAGAAACACAACATACACAATGTGACTGTAAAAAAAAAAAAAAAAAAGAGATGGCTGTAGAGAACAGAGGCAGAGCTGAATTTTCAGGCTGTTTTGAGCTTGATTTGCTGAGCTATCCATGGGCTGGTTGTGTTTGCTTAGCTGTGTATGGGTAAACCTTTACCCCGTACCTACAGGAGAAAAGCAGTGATTGGAAGTCTGTGGAAGTGGGGGGAAGTTAGGGACAGGTTGTTTTATGGAAATTTTCTTTCCCCACATTGTATTGTCCATGTGTTCTTCCATGTGGTCACAAATACACCTGCTTTCAGGTGTATTCTCCCTAGTCTGAAACTATTGCAAAAATGAACGATGCCATCTTTAAGAGCTGAAAGCATAGGAAATGTTCCTTCTGCCTTACTGATCTGACCTGTCTAAAAGTTTTAGGTCAGGTGTTTTCATCTCTTCAAAGTACATACTGGCCTAGCTGTAGTAGCAAAATTCTCCTAGATTGGGGCTGGTTTTCACATTAGAGCTGAACTGATCTATTGAGAGGTGTGGTCCTCCCATCCCCTTATCTTTATCTGCATCTCCGCTGGCCTTTCTCTGACTCTACCATGTGCTGATGTAAAATGCTAAGTTAACAGAAACCTTCTCATTTATTTTTGTTGGATTACTATTTTCGACAGTTTAGGGAGCCGCCTTGCTGTGGGGAGAGAGAAAATAATCAACACAAAGGTAAACGATGGAAAAACTTTGATGGGAGCAAGAATGCCTCTTCCATCAACAACTACCTATTAGGCTGCCTTAGCTGTAAAGCAAACCATCACCCTTTGGGGTGGACTTGATTGTCAGTGTAACTTGTACTGGTTTTGGGTGCGAGCTAAGCAGTGCCAGTTAGGCACAGCGCTGTTTCAATGTGAGTGACTAGCATGAGAGATTTTCTGCTTGTGAAAACAACGCTTCACAATATCCTGAAGATAAAACCACTCCCTCAAAAGCATGCCCTTAAGCAACCTGCCATAATGTACGGGAATTGTTTCCAGGGGCGACTTGAGCTGATCGCTTGCATTGGGAGCTAGGACACGTCACAGGAGGCTTGTGACCTGATGGATACGCTTTTAAGTCTTGTAAAGTCGCGAGCTAAAGTATGTGTAACATTCAGAGTGCTGTTCAGACATCAGTGCCTGTGAGAGAGGGACATCGTGCAGCTGCCTTCACTGCTGCCAGGCCTGGGCCAGCAACCAGGAAAAGCTCTGAAGCTCCTCACCGCCAAAGAACACAGTGAGCCCAGATGAGTAGCTGTGGAGATGTTACTGCATGGAAAACACTCCGTTTCCCTCTTTGGAGTAAAATGTTGTGCAGGGAAGCTGTTTAGCAGAGCTGGGAAGGAGCGGATCACACAGGCCATGAGCCCCAGCTGGAGGGGGATTTGTGTGTTGGGATCTGTGGTTCCTAGGGGACAGCAGGCTGTCACCAGGAGACTGCCGTGAACAGTGCCTGCCTTCTCCCCTTTTCCGCTGGCAGCGTCCAGTGTCCATGGGGAAGCACCATGCTATCTGTGAGTCTTCCCATCTTTCCCAGCTCCATCTTGCTGAGGCTGTTCTGTTTGCCTCTGCAGCATGGGTGCCCATGGGGGGGGGGTGGTGGTGGTGGTGGGGCAGGTGGCCAGGGACGGTCATTCAGCCATTCGTATTAGACGCAGCTGAGATGTGTTTTGAAGATGCAGGAGTGGTATTGTCTCCTTCCTGTGATGCGTTGGTAGGCCTTGCTCTGCCATACTACCACCTTTTCTGTCTTTCCACTTCTCTTCATGGTTCGTAATCCCTTGTGTGTAACATGAAGGCACAGCGTTTGCAGGGCCTTCTTCTTCTGGGAGTTGTAAACCACTATTAGAAAGCTGAAACCGAAGACTAGAACAGACAAGTTGAATTAACCACTTTTTGTCAAAGGATTAGAGCCATGGTTTCCTAATATTAATCTCTGTGGTCTAACCATCGCATGGGCTGCTGACGTCAAATTGTTCTTGTATCCAGCACTCTACTCCTGAATTAGGTTGAGCAAGAATTCGTGAGAGCCTTGTGGCTGGCTGGCTGAATGGTCCCTGGCAAAAAGTCACAGAAAGCCTTAAACTTTCACTCGGTTTAAATTTGTAGGCAGAAGGATTTCAGCAAGAAGAGTAATTTTGCTTTAAAGGTGACCTGGAAATAGTAGTTAAGGGTTTGCAAATCTCTTGTTAATTAAGAGAAGACTAATAGGTCTTACTTATTTCCAGGGGATTTTTTTTTTTTGGTATGGATTTAAAAAAAAAAAAATATAAATGCTATAAAATACTGTTACTAGTAGTTTTGACCAGTGTCCCCTGAAGGGTCTATCTGGTGTTTATTTAACGTTCTCAGGATATTAAGAAAGTGCGTATTCTGTTTTTAAACAAAGGTTTCCTTTCTCCTGATACTTAGTCCCTACAATTACATAAATATTATTTAAAAAGAAAACGCAAATAAAAGCAATGTCTTGTTTAGTGCACGGCAGATTTCCTAGTCTTTATTGATTCACTGGCAAACTGATGTTCCCTAGCAAACTTTCAGTTATTTATTCATATCCTGAAAGACATAAAAAAAGACAGATACACATTTTTCTTTCTTATGCTGGCAACCTTCTATCTCAGGGAACTTTTGTTGCAATTTCTTACGCACAAACAACATCTGGGTGAAAATGAATGAAGGCAGATAGAATGTGGCCCCATATGCACGGTGCTTGTTTTATAAATACTTTGTTGGGCTGAGAACTTGAGCGTAGATTTATGACATGTACTCTATATGCTGTTTTCTTGCAGAAGATAAAACTAACTCCAGGCGTGTGGTACTGGAAAGTTGATACTAACACACTTGAATTTGCAAGGTAAAAGCATGATGTTTAGTTTGAAATTATGCCGGTTTATGCCTTGATACACCAGGTCCAAGTAAGGTAAAGTCAGAGTCTAATATTGTTTTGCCTGCACATCAACTGCAGGACATCTTCTTTTCAATGACTTTTATTTTTTTTTAATTGAGGTTGGAGCTCTTTTTGTTCCCGTTAATGAAGAGAATCAGCAATACGGAGGTACTCCATACTGCTCTCAAGCTGAACCCACTTTAGAGGGAAGGCTAAAAGTGCGTGGCGAGCCCTGCCACCTGTCAGAATTGTGCACCATGCATTGGGGCAGCAGCGCGGGGCGCGAGGGCCAAATGCCACCCCAGGAATCTGTAGGTGGAGGTCCACAGGCTGATGTTCCCTCTTGCCGGTGTTACGTACGACCCTGTGCAGTGGTGGGCACCACTGCAAACCTTTAGGGAAACCACAGTTCTGCAGGGGACTTGTCACAGCGCTTCGAATTTCTGCGGATTAAGACTTTATCATTTAAACGACTGGGGAGAAAAACCCCACCAGCCAAACTACACCCTCCCGGCTCCCTACCCAAGGACGGGGAGTGCAGTGGAGCATGGGGGCGGTGGGTCAGTCACACGCTGCAGGCTGCTCCCTCCTGCCCTGCTGGGCATTTTCCAGGCCTCTGTCAGGGTGGAGCCAGGCTGCTCACCTCTTCGCTGGCCACATGGCTCCTGCAAACACCTTTCATGGTCTGCGTCTCAGCAGCTCCAGCCAAATTCTCCGCTGGGTTTGGGAACGCTGCTGACTTTGCCTGGTAGCTCTCCAGGGAGAGGAGTGAGCTTTCCAGTGACCTCTGCCTGTTTCTGCCCTCAGTGATCCCCCCCCCAAAAAGCTCTGGAACTGGGCAGTTTACATTTAAAGTCTTCCTAAAGCCCCTCGAGACAGATTGCTTGAGGGGTTTACATGGCACAATGTGTATGGTGGCAGGAGACAGAGCAGGAAGCCCTGGGGAGGCCCCTTTACTCTGCTTCTGTGTTCTCGAAAGCTCTATCTCACACAGACCTCACCACAACCCAGATGTTTCTAGTGTCAGTTAGAGGCCAAAACAGATATGCCTTTTTATCCTGGGATGTTGACCTCTTTGCGTTGCTGCTAGTAGTTTAAATTCATACTGCTGCATGCTCATGCTCTGTATTTCAGCTCCAGTCCAGCAGTTGAGGAAAACCTTAAGGAAGGAAAAAATACTCACTTTCAGGAAATATGTGTGAAGACATTAAAGAGGTATTTCAGTTCAACTAGCCTAGCTCAAAAAGAAACAAGATCTTTTGGGTGGGAATATTTTCGCCCATTGTCTGAGGATCATGTCTGAACAAAGCATGTGAAACAGGAAGCCAGCTGTCATTTCGACAGGGTGGATGAGTGGTCTGAACATAAAAACAGAGCCAGACATGCCTGGTGTCGAATACTGGCTCAGGCACTAGCCCGGTACGACTTTGGTAAAGTCATTCAGCATCTTTGTTGATGTTTCCAGATCGCTAAGAACGAGGCAATAATTCTCATCTACCCTAAAGAGTATTGTGAGGTAATTAATTCATCTGTGTAAGGCACTTCAAAGATTAAAGTATTATTATTATTATTATTAATTTTATAAATTCACAACATGGTGTAGCTGACTTTCATCCATTACTTAAAACCTCTTTGATGTAAATGATATAGTCACAATTTATTATATTAGCAACTAAAAGAGCAACTTCAGAGGCAACCTTAGAGGTGAAATGGGGTTGTTCTCTCAACACCCCCAGCCTGTTTATGTGGTTATCATAGTTGAAAGTTAGTTCAGGATACCTGCCAAACACATTTCACTGCCCGTCCCTTTGAAACAGTGCAGTGAAGAGAGTACATACCAGGTAGATAATCTTAATATTCTCTGACTGGAATTAACACTGTGTGCTTAAATGTTGTGCATTGGTCAACCACTAGCATCTTCCAAGATGATTGCAGTGCAACACTCCCTGATAGGAGGCTGGCTGACACAGAAGGAAAATTGCATAGGCTGTCAAAGTGGACGCAACATGAATATGTGACGTTGGATGATGTCAAATGTGAGTAATTGCTGGTACTGCGTATCAGCAAGGCATTGCCCATACAAGTTAGAAAGCTATTTTTACTAACACTAGCAGTTTTTTTGAGGAAATACTTTCTTTCTCCTCTGTATGTTTCCAGATGCTGTTTTGCTTTTGAAAGAAGCAAATGACTCACATCACATGCTACCATTTGCAGCAGTTATGAGGTATGTCACTTAGAGTTTGTTTCAAGAATTCTGTTTGTGGAGCCGGTAGTGGAGGGACCAGGGTGTGTGAGAAGTAGAATATGAAATATCAGAGGTGTAAAATCTCTCATCTGTGAGATTTAGTGGGCAACAATACCAAATACATGTTGTCTTCGACAATGTGCAGAGAAATAATCACCTGTTTGGAAGCTTTCCACTGTTTTCTAAAGGAATCCAAGAACTTGGGGCTAAATATCCAAAGGCTGTTACCAACTTAGAGTTAAAGTCCATGTTAGCCAGCAAGCCCTCAACACTGCATGCACCAGGAGTGCTAACAACAGGGAATCTGGGCTGCTTCCCTGTGCCCCGTCAGAGCTACAGGGCTCGTTACTTGCTGCTGTCACTTATCAGCATCACTTCTCTAAGGCTAAAAGCGAGGAGGCAGCAGGCAGAGCATTGTGTCTCAGGGGCATACCCCTGACATCACCAGGGCCATGGCGTGGCTGCATTGCCTTTGACTTAGGAATGTACCTGTAGGCCTTGTTGAGCCTTAGCCATACTGTCGTCTCGGAAGGGGAGAGGTGTGCAAGTTGTCCCCCTTTTCCTTTGAGTGGCAATGCCACTCTTCCAGCACGTTCGGTGCAGAAAACATGCTTCTTGGAAGTATGTCTGGTAATACCCAGTTCAGTCCTCTCTTCAGGGTGTTTATTGGACTCCTAGTAATTCTCTAAGAGCCTTCAAAGTCTTAGTGTGGGGTGGAGAGCTTGCTGCGAACAGGTCTCAGCCATGTAGCTAATATTTGGTATAATTCAGGCCCTTGAGCAGAGGCTTTGTTCTTTTTCATAATGGTCTGGTGGTGTCTGTATCTGCAAATTTGCAGATTTTACAGTGACCTTTCTGCCTTCCATTTAGGAATGAGAAGCTAGATGAGTTCCTCATGGCCCTGCTCTTCTACCTTTCTTTTTACCTGGAAAAAATTGCCCTGGAAAAGAAATACAGATCGTTGATTTCGTGAGTATAAGACTTTGGGGGTGTAAGTACGGAGAGCTTGCTCCAGCAAATCTGGAATCCCAGAGCAGTCTTTTGTGTCAGAATCGGTGGAATTCTGCATATGAGCAAGAACCGCTTGCTATACTGTCCCAGTCTATATATGGAACACTAAGAAGGAAAAACGCTTGGTCTCACCATTTATGTCTCAGGTCCTCTTGTCCTCTGTGCTCTCCGGGACATAGGCTTCTCTGAGTATGCAGAGAGACAGATTTTCAGGGAGGGTTTGAACCCCACTTTGCCCCAGCCTTGCCCAGAGCAGCATGCACTGTTGTTCACGTGGCATGGCATCACCGTAGTCTTGCTTTCAAGATGTGGCTGGATCCAGTCCTGCTGCAATGGGGTCACCAAATAATTTGGCTCCTCAAGGTAATGCTGCAATTTGAATAAATCATTACTGCTACCACCACCATTAAGTCTGTGTGAGTGCCCTGGATTGAGTTACCATCCCGTAATGCCATTTCCCAGTAATAACCTTAGCATCCAGTCATTTCTGCTTGCAATACGGACCAGCAAAGAGTCGCAACTGAGTCTGCTGGGTGTTAATTTGTGCTGTGGGTCACATTGCTGTAAGACTTCATTTCTAAACACTTTGCAAAGCAGGTTCAGATGACTCTTAGGTGCTAGGAACATGTTACAACGTGAGGAATATATGCTAGGAAAGCAGTTCCCAAGTAAGGGCGTGTGACCACACTTGCTACCTTGCAGAGCGTAAGCAGGGATGCCAGTGGGGTAGTTCAGGAGCTGCTGTGTTAGAGGGTTAGATGCCTTGGGAGAAAACGTTGCAGTTAAAAACTGTGATTGTAAGAAACTTCAGTGATTTTCTAGAGTCTGTAATAGTCCCTGAGGATTGATTGACCATTTTCTTACAACACTTAATGATTACTTACTTCACAATGAATGAGGTCTTGATGTAAAGAGGGGCTGATTTATCTGGATTGAAGAAAAGACTGTTGGAGGATTGCTGGCCTTAAGGGGTTGATTTGTTCTACGTCCATAGATCCACAGGTGTTTCTTTCATTGTGCAAGGAATAATTCCTAAATAAAGAAATCCATCAGCGTAGTTTCATACACCAAGGTCGTAGATTCAGCTGAGGTGCTCTGGGCTGCAGTTTACAAAATGATCTCCTCGCTCTTGGCTGGTAAGGACCAAGGGGGCCACTCTGTGGGTCATGGCACCTCAGTATGGCTTATATCATCTCCTCGTGTGCCAAGTACAGAAACAGACTGAAACAAGGAGGAGTTTGGATCTATTGCAATATAGGGGTACGTTTCCTGGATCAAGGGGGCTCTGGTTAGTAGGTATCAGCTACAAACACTGGATAAACCCTGCCAGGAGGGTGTTTTCCATGTGTTCTGCCATGCAGTGTTCCTGAAAGTGAGTCCTGACTTTTGGTGGGAAACATATACTGACTCTGCAGTTCTACAATACTGTTTTGTTTAGATTCATTACCTTCCCTCAAGGGCGGTGGCTTGCTTCTCAGGATTACCTGCATGTAGTGTTAACATCAGAGGAGCTTAAAGAAGAGACACCATGCAGAAGCAGGAATTCAGGATATTGATCTACTGAAGTATGAATACAAGGAAGGAAAATAAAATTACAAAAGGCAATTGTAGGTCCTATGGAATTGTGAAGTACATCCATAATTGTTTCAGCATCTTAGCTGCCTTGCAGGAGCAAGGACATATTAATCAAAGTGTGAAGAGCTTTTTTTGCATCTTCTTTCCCTTTCAAGACCTCCCATTTCCTCTGTTATCCACCTTGTCTAAGTCTGAACTTGGTCATCAAATGTAGCAAGGACTGTCTTTTCCATCCTGTGAAGTAAAGTTCTGGAATGGTCTTCCACTAGGAAGTAGTGGGGGCAGGGAACAAAACTACCTTTTTTTTTTTTTCTGAAGGTGGAGCTCTGTGAGCTTGTGAAAGAGATTTTATAACTACATAATAGAATCATAATGACATAAAATTACACTTGTGATAAGAATCCTTGGGTTTGTGATATGCTGATCTATTTGAGAGAATATGAAAGAAGATTGCATAGCCGTGTGTTTCCCTGTATCTATCCCACATAAATGCCATGCTCAGGGCTGTTGCCTTCCTGGCCTGCTCAGGAAGAAAACTCCCTCCCCTTTCCTCCAAGACGTAAGTTAGTTTCAGATGCTTTTTGCGTTCTTATGTAGTATTGGCTATGTGCCACAAGTAGAGACAGACTGGAGGCAAGACGTGGTGGTATCATTTCATGCTTTTCGCCAGTGTTACCTGTAATTTTCTCCCAGTTAAACTGACAGACAGGTTACTTGGAGACAGGGCTTGGTGACCTGCCTAGTCCTTTATCAGCCTGATGTTCTTGTATGACAGACACATCCAACGTCTCTGCAGTCCTCGAGCTGCTCTTCTTGTAGACCCTGTGTGATAACCTAGTAATACAGAAAGCAGTGCTGGTTATTCCTGCTCCTAGTTGGTGTGTTTTGGGGTTCCTGCTATTTGGGCTGCCTATGAGAGATACCCAGCTCATCTGTTGGGTCTGCTTTAGCCCACAGGGAGCCAGGCCTGATGGTCTGAATAGCTCCTCAGTTTTCTTGAACCTAGACCGTGTAGAAGTATTGGTGACCACAGTGCCTCACTGGGGCATCTGAGACCATCCTGGGTTCAGACCTCATTGCTTCTGTTCATTAAACTTTCTTTGGAAAAGAAAGTATTGGAAGGGGTTCCTATCAGAGAAAGTCAGGATGAATCTGGGCATCTTTGACTTCTAATATTTTGTCTTTTGTTGATGCCATGCTGATTCTTTGTAAACCCAAGCCTGAGGCTTTCCTCGCTTTTTCTAGGTTCAGGAAGATCTTGTAACTAACTTCAAACAACCAACCAGTTTTCCAAAGCAGCGGGCATGAGGCATTCCCCCACTGGAGACAGCTTGGGAGTATTCACCTCTGAAATATGTGACTCTAAGAACAAAAACTCACCAGTGGTGGATGAGACATGAATGGAACAAGGGCTATTATTTCTGCCCTGCATTTTCTTTCCCTTTTAGTTTCTTTCTGTTTCTGCATCCAACCCTTTCATGTCTTTTGGGGAAAATCTGCTGAATTTTATTAGCAATTATCCCTGAGAAGCCCAGAGCAATTGTCCTAATTTATTAAAGGTGGGTTGTGTAGGAAGCTTTAGAGCTGGAGGCCATCAGGGATAGGACAGATAAAACCAACTCCCCTGCGTGTGACAGGAGGCTGGTAACTTTTAGGCCGGCAGCGCTCCCAGGCACTGGCAGACAGTCATGTGGATTACAGGGGAAGCAGAGGAAATGGAAAGCTCTCTGGTTTGGCATTTCCTTAGCGTTTGATCTGAATTGGTTTAAAGTACAGGCTTGCAGTGTCAGTTGTTCCTGTTTAGAGGCAGTCCCAAAAGCGCTTCGTGTGCCTTTTTGAAGAGAAGTTAAGTGCTGTCTCCGAGTGAGCCAGACCCACTGCTCCAGGCCGCCGGCGACAGCCTGCGCCCAGAGATATCCCGTGCACCTCCAGGGCTTTTACGCAGGCTGCAGAAAGGGTTCATGAGCTATGCAGGATCAAAGACGGCAACCTGATGGGCTGCATACAGGCGGCTTATGAGTTGTGTGGGGCAAGAGAGACTGTCTGGGCCCAAGCCCCAGGCCATGTGGCTCCACCGGCATTGCCAAACTGTGCGGGAGGCGTCTGAGCGCAGCCTGGCTACAGAGCGGTCCCTGGGAGTGCTGTCACGCAGCGCGTTGGTTTGTGTGCCTGAAATCCATGCTTATGTCTCAGGAACGGTCGCTCTTTCTAGCGTCCTTTCTGTCCAGAGCACCTTCCCTGAGAACCTTTTTCCCTTTTTGTTTTAAGAAGGACTATGATATTTGTAGAGAAGAAAGAAATGGATGAAGTGTTGGTGAAGTTAGCGGTGGCCAGGATTCACCTTGCCAAGGTGTATGCTAACCTTACCCTTGAACAAGGCATGGCACAGCAGCAACACAAGCCTGGTGGAAAGTAAGGCAATCCCTTCTGGGGACTCCTGCTATGTCAAGGGTCACAGTAGTCCACGGCCAAGGCTTCTGTTGAGTGACACCAGTGAATGCCCAGGGCAATAAATGTCTTGTGAACCAAGGAGTCACAGAGGGCTAAGGGACCAGGAGACAGAAGTGTCCTGATCTCCCTGCAGCTCTATCTCATCTCATAACCAACTACAGAAGTGTTTCTCTTGAGCTGTTGCCAACTGATTTGACCACAATGAGTTGCAGACCTCCGGATATCAGACCAGAAAGCTCTAGCCCTGGTATGCGGAAGCCTAGCTAGGTGTACACAGCAGGAAACTTTAATGGGTTCAACGTGCCAGTCAGTAGGGCAGAAATCAGTGCCAGCGCTGGATCTTAACCCTGCCACTTCCACTTTAACTAAATCTTGAAAGCAAATGGTGATGTACCTGCTGGTTGTCACTGAGCCCTGCATGAATTTCCTCTTACGCCAAGTCTGAGGTAGCATGAGACTAGTCAAACAAGTGAAGGAGACCATGTTCCTGGAGGGCAGCAAGTGAAGGGAGTAGGAACAAGGAGAGGTTGTGCTTGGGCATTGGAAGTGTAGGAATCCTACCTCTGAGCAGGGAAGGGGGTGCATGGCTTTTTCAGGGTGGTGGAGACCAACCACTCTTTAGTTGTGATGGTCTGAGTGATGAACTGCAAGTGGAGAGAAACCCGAACTGGGAGTTAAGAAAGAAACTGAAGAAGGCAGGAGAGGATGGGAGGGTGTTTGAAAAGGCAGAGAGACCAGGGGAACATGAACATTGAGGACAAGAAAAGGGCAGTTTTAAGAGGAGATGAAGGTGGTGTGGTTTAACCCTGGCCAGCAACTAAGCACCACACACAAAATGGTTGGTGGAAGAACATAATTACAGAGAGATCACACACCATGCTAGTGTTAGGGACGCTTTCCTCAGCCGTGTACGTTCCTGCGCAATGTTTCCTTCCCTGGCAGTAGAAAGGAGCTGGCAGTCCCCAGCCAGCACCCCAGTCCCATGGGGTCTTCTCAGAGCACTTTCAGGCAAATTTTTTTTGGTCAGATCAGATGGTGTGAACCTGCTGCCAGTCCACCAGAGGAATCACAGTCACCTGCCTTCCTGCCACACAGCTCCGGGCAGGCTTGCTCCTGGCTGGGGTGGGGGAACTGGGGTTTCCTTCTAATCAAGAGGAGAAGGTAACCTGTGAAATGATGGAGTCAAAGCAGAGCTGAAATTGCTGTCCCAACAGGGCCATCATTTTAGGGTGCCCCATCCCACAAGGTGCTGGACGGAGAGTTATGAATGTGTTCCGTCTGCATCCTGGCGCATGGGCATTTCACTGGGCACTCCTGAGAGCAGCCTTTCCTGCCAAATCCCTGCTCACAGAGAGGAGAAGGTAACCTGTGAAATGATGGAGTCAAAGCAGAGCTGAAATTGCTGTCCCAACAGGGCCATCATTTTAGGGTGCCCCATCCCACAAGGTGCTGGACGGAGAGTTATGAATGTGTTCCGTCTGCATCCTGGCGCATGGGCATTTCACTGGGCACTCCTGAGAGCAGCCTTTCCTGCCAAATCCCTGCTCACAGAATTCTTGCTGGTTGGACAATGGGGGGTCACAACAGCATTTCATTATTTCTGTTGGGTGGCCCTAATGTTTGCCCTTATGAGACTCAGTTGGAGGAACTTGCTGCAGAGTGTAACTTGGATACAAGAGCTGGATACGGCTGGACAAAGCAGCCTGTCGTATACCCAGCTAGTGAGCTCTGGTGCCTCTTCACTCCCTCGTATTGTATGGTGGATGGGAATGTGCAGGATTGAGGAAAAGAAGTCGTCTAGTGGCAAAAAAAATCACCATCATGGGCGCGAGAGCAGGGAGCTGAAACAAGAAACAGTGTTCTTTAATATCCCAGTGTGGGTTAGAGCCCAGCAGTGGGTTGGGAAATTGGTGTCCAGGCTGCGAAGGCACAAAGTCTAGAAAAGAGCTGTGTGTTAAAGCCTTCATGATGTAAGGTGCTGTGTGGAGAGAGCCCTCGCTGAGTTACTCATAGCAGGGTGGCGGTAGCTGACTACGGCTTCCTTCTGAATTAGGCTAATGCTGAGCATGTTATAATCTGTGGCACTTCCCATACCATACTGCAATTACATCTTTTCCAGGCTGACTCAGTTTAGCCTTAAATGTTATCTGGATCCTCCCAGACCATTATATTAACTGCCAAAAACAAGTGCTGAGGGACAGAACTGATTAACACTCTTAATTATAAATGATAGTTAGGAATTTTTTGAGCACACGTTTTTTGGATGGGAAAGGTCCTTTGTCAAAATGGAAACTGTGGGGAGGGTTACTTTTGACGAATTATTTTAACTTGAAAAATATTGAGATTATAAAGCTGAGAAACTATTGATAATGTTCCACCCCCCGCTTTACTATGTTTTCTTGTAACCCAACTATGGGTTCATGATGGAACTGAAGCTTTTGCTTTTCACTTTAATTCGCCATAGCAACATTTTAATGAAATCCTAAACTATGTTGGTAAACTGCTTTTTTCCCTTCCAGATCTGCCAAAGGTCTGTGTGTTTATAGGAAATTATTGATTCTTCAGGTAAAAGTTTCCTCTGAAAGTTTAAAAAGGGAGGCTTAGGTGAAGAACATCTGCATGTTAACGATTTACATGATTTATAAAATGCAGCATTAAAATCCAATCTTGATACTATCCCAGACTGGAATTTGAGAGAGTTCCTCCAGACCTGTTATTTGTGTGTGTTAGCATTAGTCCTTTTGTGCCTCCAACGCCAAGGAAGGAATAGGTGTGTCTGGCTTTCTCCCTTTAAGTTGATGAGGGTTGTGCAACCTTTTTGTGGTGCCAGTTTCCTTATGGGCATTTGTCATAATGGGAAAAATACAGAGTATTCCCAAATACAGAGTGTTCCGGTGGCGCGAGCACGGGTGAGCCAGGCCGTGTGGATCCTCGAAGCTGGCTTCATGGGCAGAGTCACAGCTGCGGTGGATGGAGGTGCTGAAGGCACGGAGAGCACTTCTTCCCCGTGTGCCCCTGTGCAAACAGTGGTTCTTGTAGCTGTCTGAAGCCACTGTTGTCTTGCATCCAGCCCCCACGCTTACTGCAGTCTGCCCTTGGCTGCGCTGTCCTCCTCTTGTGCACGAGCTCATCCCGTCCCCCTCGCAGCTCTGAGAAATCGGTATTACTATATCACCAGAAGGCTTTTTGCTCACTCTTTCACGTTTCTGACAAGTCCTGTCCTGAAGCTTGTTGCGAGTTTGATGTTTTCCTGACCCTTTCTGTATTTTCCTAGGTAATTAGCAACTGTGCCCTAGACATGGGAGGGGCCTCCTAGTTCATCTCTTATTTTAGGAAACTTTACTTCAAGCAGGTCTCTTAGCTTAATACCTCACCTGAGGGAAGAAAGCACTGGGAGAAGGAAGGGTGGAGACCCCTGACCTTATTTGACTCTAATTATTAGCATTATTTTCTGTTGCTGGCCCCTGCATAGGTTTCTCTGCTGAACTAGGGGATGGTTCTAAGACACCGCCTGAGCCGTATAATGTTAGAAAGTAAAGCTGGGTTTCACGTTTAGTTTTAAGAAGCTGGGGTCACTTTAGGTTTCTCCTCTCTGGTACTCTGAAGACAGATTACCATGCTTTACCAGAATTCGTAAGTAATCAAAAACATCAGAGGTGTTCTGGGAGTTCTGCTTTGGCAAACGGCCATGCCATGCTTGCAGAGTCAAGTTTCTCTTCCCTTGCACAATTTGGGAAGTGTCAGCAGGATTATGGCTGGTGGGAACCAGGTAGGGAGTTACATGGTCTTCTTGATCAAAAAATCAAGAGATAAGAGTCAGAAGGTGGTAAATAGAGCTATAGGGCTGCAAGCTCATAGCTTCATGGTCTGCTCCGCATTGATGTTTCTGGGGTGATGGCAGCTGGGGATACCCTAGATGTGTGGAACACTTGGTGTTATGGGGAAGATAAGGGAGATGTCAGGAATTGGTGAGTTGATGTGGAGACAGGCTTTCCTGTGCATCTGGCAGGACCTAATCGAATCTGTGGTGATCTGTAGGCTGGCAGGGAAAACTTGCTTTCATTTCGGAGAGTGAGTTGTACTGTCTCCAGAACTGAGTGGCTGCTGGGGAGTGTGCTTCATCTTCTGCTTTAATGGCTGTTTCCACGATGGACAGTCATTTGGCTTTGTGTGAGATCCCTGGGCTCGAGTGGGTGGCAAGAGCATCTCTCCAGCTTCCACTGGGAAAACAGCTTCTTTAACAAAGGCCCTTTGTCATTTTTGGGCACGTTATACATTTCTTCTTGGAGATACATCAGGCATCTCCTTCCTGGTTTTCAAGTTTATTGTCTCAGCATTGGACTGGCTTTGTGTCCTTGGAACTCTGCTTGTGGCTCTTCCAGTGATGTCAGGAAGAGTGTTTTTGTTGACTTCAGTGGGAACTGGGTTAGATCAGCGCTGACCACTTTTGAGAGGCCCATGCAGAGAGCTCAGTCTAGGTAGCATAGCAGGGGAGCCTCGCCTGCTCATCACATCCAGCTTTGTTCTCTGTCAGATTCAATTAACTGGGCCATACAATATTTTGCATTTTCTCCTCCTGAGGCAATGCAGAAGTCCTGCCTTTCTTTTGGACAGTGGGTCTCCACATGCTAGTAATGAGGATCTACCAGCAGCAACTTTATTGCCCTGGTGAAATGCCAGCTTGGCATAGCTCTGTGAGTCATACGCAATGCTCTGTTCAGAGAACTGAAAGGACAACTGCTGCTATTAATTTTGTGCTCTTGTTCACTGCCTTAGGAGAAGCACATCGTTGCAGAAAGGTCGGAGCTACTTTGAGGTAAGAAAGATAAAACGATAGTGTGACTGCCAGCCCAGAGCCTGTCCCTCTCTTGCATATCCAAATCCTCCTCTCCCTTCCGGTTCCCCCAGTAGTTTACTTGTAGGGCAGAGTACCTAGAATAAAATTTTACCCCTAGGGCCTAGATGTCCCTGTAAAGTACCATCTCTTTGCCCTTCAGCCCAAGCCTTTTCCCCTTAGAGCCCTCAACCAGGGAGTTTCAGTCCCTCTGTGGCTCTCAGACCCCAGGCAGTTCCCGCTGCAGCCTGAGGTCCCTCTGGGAACTATGGTCTCTAGGTTCCTTCTCATCATTGGCCTCATAGTTTCATCTCTGTAGGTAAGAAATTTTACAGCCTTCTTTTATTTCCATTACCCTTGGCGACATTTCTAGATGCCAGTAAGCTCTTCTGGCCTGCAACATGCAGCTCCATTAGCCATTTCTGGCATATGTAGCAGGGTCTCAGCAAATTAAAACAAAACACCTGGGCCCAAATTAGGCTTTGCGCTTTGTAAACTGGGAAGCCTTTCCTTGAAAGAAGGGAAATGTGGATTCAATTCCAAGGACAGATGGCAGTCCCCGTGAGGCCATCTTTTCAAGGACTGACTTAGAGATTTGATTTACTGGGAGTTGATTCATCTTATGCCAGGGATTGCAAATGTTAAATAGTTGTGAAAAGTCTGATTTTGGTTTTTTTAATCAGCAAGCAGACAGGCGGAGGTGAGATGCGATGAGTTCATTTTTGGTAGTAATATTTTCTGTGATCATAATGCCATCATTCAGGGTGGGGATCATCTTGTCTACCTGCAGCTGCCCAGACAATAGCTGTCCAGTCAGACCATGCCCTTTGGCGGCTTTGACGGCTGTTGCAGGAAACAGAACCTCAGCCGGGGGGTGAATTGTTGCCTCCTGAGATTGATGTGTGCGATAGGAACACCCCCAGAATGACTCCTCCCATCAGTCTCTTTCCATCGATTATTCAGAGAAACTGGGTGGTGATCTCAGGTTTTCTCCTTAGTTTCTAGCAGCAAGACTAAGTCTGGTCAGAGCTGAGCAAGATGAAATCCATCTGAGCTAACTGTTTCTAGCCTCATCTGTCTGCAAACCTTTAAAAGACCAGTTCTTTCAAATCTTCACTGGTGCATGCATGGTGAAGCTTGATGCCAAATGGTTGCTGGCATGTTAGCGGAGTCATGCCAACCTGCACTCTGGGATGCAGTGGGACTCTGAGCCTTTTCCCAGTGAAAAAGGGACCTCTGTTTTCAATTTAGGGCTTTTACAACTTCAGCAACTATGTGGCTTGGCTTGTGTTCAGATGGAAGCACTTCCAAGTGATCTGGGAAGAAATCGGCAGGCTTCTTTGCTCCGACATGTTCAATCCCGCTGTAAGAGACAGGAACAACGTTGACCTGCAGAAATCAGGAAACCGGAATGCTGATACAGCGTGACTGCCGTAGCTGAGGTACTCCTTGGGCACACTGGTGAGTCCTTAGGAGACCTGACTTGTCCAAATATACCGAGGTATCATCTGCATTTGTTTTCTTTCAAGAAAAGCCCACGCCAAGCATCCTTCCATAAACAGCATGGTTCACCAGCGCTCGCCAGTGCTCAGCACGCTGCTGCCCTCACCAAAGGACAGTGCTCGGTACCTCTTCCAGAACCACTGCTGTCGGGGCAGCGACTCTGGGCCTTGCAAGTGTGGTGGCCTGCCAGCCTGCTCAGAATTGTTCCCTACCAAGTAAGGGGCTACTTCTCTGCATAAATAGAGTTGGTGGTGCCATGAGGAAGGACGTCAGGCTCTTCCTCACCGGGAGAGGGGCCGTTGGGCTGAGGATTTGGTCCATGCGGGAGTTAGACTGTAGGTCGTGAGAGACCTGAGCGAGCCTGAAACTTGCAGCAGTAGTACTCGCGGTTAACCGATGGCAAAGCTGCTGCTGTCCGTCACAGTGCTTTGCTAAAACTCAAAAGTTTTTGGGGGAAAGGAAATGTGCTTTGATATAAATTTGAACAGAAATTAATCAAAACCTCTCAAAATCAAAATGGGATGTTTGTTTTTAACCCTGTCATGATTCATTCCAATTTCTTGTTTCTTCCTGACCTTTAGTTTTTGATAGTGTTCTGATCAGACATTACCGGTGGACTTTATTCTGAAAAAGTAATTTTGTTGCTACACTGCCTTTTTAAAATATAATTCTGATTGTAATAGAAGTAGAACCTTTTCATTCATGATAAGAATTCATTCATTCATGATAAGACCAAAAATTTTCAAGCCTGGGCACAACATGTGAGAGGACTTCCACTTCACCTTCAGCCACGTTAACAGCAGCATCACCACAGTACTTTTTGACGTAACAACTCATGGAGACAGGAGCACTGTACATCTTTTTGTTGAAGTGTGTGTAAGGCTCCCTGTAAGACTCTCCCTCATAAGTCTTCTTTTTCTGCCTGGAAATTGAGAATTTGAGAATTGCCTTCATTTGCCTGGCTCTTCAGCGTTCTGGCAACCTAATGAGTGCTACAGCACTGTACGGGCAGAGTCTTGGGACATACCTGCAACGCACAACCAGTGAGTCTGGTATTTCTTGAGAGCGTGAAATTTGCTAGAGGCACATACAATTATTTTGTGCATGCTGTGGAAGCTGGGTGCATCCTGAGCATCTTGGCTTTACAGCTTATGCAGAGTCATGCAATTCACGTGCAATAGGGCCAGCCTTCCCAGGAGGTGCTGGGCTTCACCCAGATGTCTGCAATTCCGGGCACGTGCGTGCACACTCCAGACAGCGGCACGACGTGGGGTGCAGGGTGCTGAGGGCATAGGCACGGTTATTGGTTTCTCCCTGGGGGAGAGCAGACGTTCTCTGCGTAATGTGTTATGCACAGTCCAGCTAAAGGAGGCAAGGTTCCTTGCTGGTTTGCCTAGGAGACATTACAGATCCGTCCCCCTTCCTCCTGCTTTGTTTTGCTTTATTTTGTCAAGCAGATTAATAGGATATTTTCTAACAGAGTGGGCATCGTTGGAGCTCATTGTAGTGAGTTAAAATGTTTAATGAGCATGCCTGATGGGCTGATGGAGGGGGAAGAGGAAGAGGAAAAGGAAGAGGAAGAACAAGGAAGAATAAGGAGTGGTTTCTCCATCCTGACAGATGACCTCGGTTTGCCATCTCTGAGAACCCCACAAAACAAGCGTAGAGTCAGAGCACCGGGCTCTCAAGGGCGGTGGCAGGAGGTGACTGTAAGCAGAGCTGCTAGCAGAAGTGGTGTGCGCTCATGTTGAGCGGCACGCTTTCCCGTCGCTAAGTAAATCGATTTGAAATCGCAGCTTAAGAAGCCCAACTCATTTGTCAGAGGTGGGGTAGTTGAGCGTGCAAGTTCCTGCACTGGGTGACTGGAGACCTGGATCGTAATTCCTGGCTCTGGCACTACCCATTTTTCCCTGACCTTAATGCCGTCACTGCACCGTTTCTGAGAATACTATTTTACTGAGTTAATTTGTGAAGTGCACCTGCAGGTGAGTGTGATTCTCGATTTTAATGTCAACCCTATTTTTCTAAAGGGTTAGCAAAGCAACAGGGAGACCTGACTTTCTGCAGTCTGAAGGTTGCTGAAATTTTTGAATCTTTAATATATTGTGTTTGCTTCTTTTTTTACTTCCCTCATCTCTCATTTTTTCTTGGATATAGCTAGTCTAATTTTTGACGCATTATGAAATAAGTGTAGCAAAAAAAAAAGTAGTTATTTAACATATCTACCAAGTCTTAATTTTTTCTTTTAAGTATTTATTTTTATCATTGATTTTACATGATTAGGAAAGCAGATCTTAGATATTCAAACTTAAAACATGCAGCTGGGATGTTGCTATCTTGGAACATAATGACGATCTGCACATGCTAATCGTTAGCATCAGGAGGAAAATTTGGGGTGAAATTCTGATTTTGTCATAGTCAGTAAGAATCGATGAAAAAATAATGGATGATTAAACAGTGGAAGAAAACCAGAGAGATAATATTTTCATCACTGTTAAGAGGAGAAATTTGACATGTTAGTCCTGGTTTGGAAGGTTTTCAGCAAAACATCTCTATGCTGAATGAAAATAACACAATCTTCCCTTGCAATATGTGGTTCAGTTTTTTAAAAGAATGATATTTTGCAGCACAATTATGATGAGAAATTTACTTTGTCTGGAGTACCCAACAGTCCAGTGACTAGATCACTTATGTGGGATGGCCCTGTGCTGCCTTACTGAGACAGAGGCTTGAACTGCAGATTCACAGCTGTTATTTGGTCTCTTCACTTAGCCTGGCACATGTTATACTAATGCCGAAGTAGCACTGTGGCCTAGGTTTGTTTTCCACCTGCCAGGCGAGTCCTTTTACCATTGGATGAGGCTGTTGTGGCCTGCAATTTCTCTCTCAAGCTTTTCATTAGACATCTGTTCTGGTACAGTGCAAAAATATTTAAAAATAACATCTTAGGATTTTTTTTTTTGGGATGGAAAACATACTCTCTCCCAAAGGAGAAGAAATATAGGAGAAATATTTAGAACTCTTTGTGACTACTGTCTCTTCCTATGCTGGTTTCAGGCAGGGATGAG